GGGGGGGGAGGGAATGGGAAGGACAGGATAGAAATGAAATGAGATGAGAATAAAGCTCAGGGGACCTTGCCCATGTTAAGGCCACTTGGGCTTCTACACTGAAAGTATTCGAAGGCGCCAACTGGCAAGGATGCTGAGCTCACGGGCACCTTCTCTTTCCCTGTCTCTCCACCAAGTCTGAGACATTCCTCCATCTCATGGATCAGCAGCCATCCTGCTTCCCCGCAATTCCAGATAATCAGTTTTTGTATTCGTGCAGTTTTTAACAGAAGCAACACATTGTAGGGGTTGGGGAGACAAATGGTCCGGTGGGGAGGGGCCAGAGGCATAGTGGCAGGTAGGGCAAGCAGAAGGAAAGCCACCGCTTCGAGGCACAGCCAAGTAATCGCCCTGGGCATTTATCTGGCGCCTTTCTCCCTTTCCAAAACACTGCTTCTACTTTTTTTTTTTGTATTTAAAATTTTTTTCAATTAAATTTGACAAAGAATATTATATTAGTTTCAACATATGTACACAGTGATTAGACATTTATATAACTTACAAAGTGATCTCTTCATAAGGCTAGTACCCATCTGACACCATATATAGTTATTATATTATTGATATTCCCTATGCTGTACTTCATATTCCCAAATACACTGCTTCTTAATCCCACAGCACAAGGCAGCTGGAAGGAGACAGAAGCTCAAAGACGAGCAATCATGTCTCTGAGCCACACGGGGCTCAGAGTGAAAAATAGAAACCAGGTGGAAGTAGACTCCATTGAGCCTGATCTCAAGAGTGTTGGACAGGTGGGTGGCTGATAACCTATTATCAGGGAGTGGGGTTGGTATGGTTAGTGTAGGAAAAAATCTAGATCCCCATGGTTTCTGTTTTTAAACCTCTTCTCTAAATGCTGGGACATCTGGCTCAGTATCCCAGAACCTGTGGGTAAGGTGGGAGCAGGTGGTTGGAATTTCGGCAATGCTCCCATGTCTGGGGGGCATGGCTGCCAGTGACAAAATGGCTGGGGGCTCTGATTCCAGAAGAAAAGACTGCATCCAACACTCACCCTTCCCATTCCCCACCCCACTAGGCACAGCTCTTAGGTAACTGGGAGAAATGAAGTATAGCATGCTTGAAGAGGGAGGGGAAATAGGCATTTTATTACACACAGCAGCAAAAATGGAACAAGCGTCAAATCTGGAGTGACGGTCTTTCCAGCAATTCTCCACTGTATAGGCACTCAGCCTAAAATAAACATCCCTTTCTCAGTCCTGGGTGAGCAACGGGATCTCATGTAGGAAAAGGTGGGATCCAGTGCTGGGGGATGATGCCTAGTGTATGCCACTTAGTCCCGGTGGAGAAATGTCTGAGGGCCAAAGCCATTTGGGAGGTGTCTCCTGGGGGGAGGGACATCATTCTAGATGGGTCCATCAGAAAAGTCAGGAATCTCTCAGGCCCACAAGGCAATTAAGGCCATGAAGGCAAAACCAGCGGTTACACAGCCCCACTTGACCAGTGGGGCCTCAGGACCAGCTAGCTCCCTGGGCAGAATTTCTAGGAAGGTGACATACAGGAAGCTGCCAGCTGACATACCTTCTAATATAGCCTGGGCCAAGCCTCGGCCCTCTCCAGAGTTTCCTTCAGCCACAGCCAGCCCTAGGGCTACGCCCAGGGGGGACATGAGAGCAAATGACAGTATGCAGAACACAGCCCATCGTGATGCAGTGCCTGTCTGCACCAGCCGCAGTCCGACGCCAAACACCACGAGCCCCTTATGAGCCAGGATAGCAAGACAGAGCTGCACCGTAGCTACTACTGTTGTCTGCAGCCCCACAGCCAGACCTTCAAACACCGAGTGGAAGGAGAGTGAGAGCAAGAAGATGAGGGCTCGAAAGGGCCGCTGTGAGGTTGAGGGTAGAGGTCCATGGCTGTGGAGTCCAAGGACACGAGCGCCACCCACTTCCTCCTCCTGCACTTTTGCTCCTCCATTGGCTCCAGGACAGCACTGCAGTGCCAGCGACTCCACAAGGAAGACCAAGAGGAAGCCCAGGGAGATGACGAGCTCTCCGTAGGGATAGTCTGTCTGGGAACAGAGAGAGGGGCTGTGGGATGGGAAGGGGAGGAAGTGCAGTGGATGGAGGTGGGATGGGAGACTGGAGAGAATGGGAAGTGCGGGGCTAGAACATTAAAAAGGGTAGGCGAGTGAAGCCCGGAGGAGATATGGACATGCAACAATAATACCAGAGGGACCACGGGCGCAGTGTCAGCAGGGCTGAAATATGGGAAGACGATGGGGAGCACGTCTAAGGGTCCAGGGAAAGAAGGAAAGAGTACAGCAAGAGCTGTGTCTGGGGTCCCATAAACCCAAAAGGATCGGTTGGCTCTTCCTTTCCCCACAGTGTCTGAGCTGAGTAGCAGATTCCTGGTATTCCTCATGTCCTTTCCTCAAAAGGCTCTGGGTATGAGGAGCCTCTGGTTCTCCTCACCCTCCAGGCGGGGGTGGGAGATACTTACAAAAGCTGGATTAGCATCACCAGAAGAATTTCCCTCACTCTCTGTCCCATTCTAGGGAGAAAAAAGCAGAAATTAGATGGGCGATGGAGCAGCTCAGCTTCCTGTGCTGTCCCTTCAGCTCCACTGCTTACCTTAAAGCCCAATCTGACCTGTTGTCATCTTCCCTGTCGTCCCACCCATGTCCTTGGCTCCATCACTTTCCCCCTTTCTCCCCTTGGTTCTGCTCATCATCTGGCCTCTCAACCCTGCAACTCAGCTGCTCACCTGCATCAGGAACTTCTGGATCTCTGATTCAATTCCCTCCAGGGCTTCAGCAGTCATGTGCATGAACCCTGCTCCCAGGAAAACACCAGCAGAAATGCAGCCCAGGAGGCTGAGGACCCGGCGGTGACGACCTAATGAAAAGCAAGAGTTGCAATCTAGTTGGCAATGGGAAGATGGACAAAGGTGACTAAAGAGCAACAGGCAGCACCCAACATCCAAGCGTGAGGATGGCAGGAGAATCAGAGGAAAGTGTGAGGGTAGGGTGATAGGGTTGAAGTCAGACGTAGGTTACGGGGGCAAAGATGCAGAAGGGCTATACCTCTGTCTGCCTCAATCTGGAACCATTTGAAGCGGATGGGAATAAGGCCACAGATCAGGGCGAGAGCCAGCAGGGCAAAAAGGCAGCCAATTTTTACTCCTAGTACTGGCTCCATCCTTGGGGTACAGGATAAGCAGAGGCCTCAGAATGACAAATGGAGTTACAAGCTTTGGAGCAGGGGTGGTGCCTTAGGTGGTCAAAGCTGGAGTCCACTCCTGAGTTTCAGGAAGCTGTCGGATCCTCTTGGTGCTGCCTCTGCTCGCGCGGCCTTGCTTGGCTGACTGGGGCCCTGCCCCAGCGTCCCACCTTCCTCGGACATGGAGGCCCCTCCCCTGGCTCATGCCTCCCTGAACTTGGAAACCAGAAACTCCAGACTCCCTGCCAGGCACAGCCCTGTGCTCTGTCTTCCCCTCTTCATTCCATGACTAATCCAAGGGCTGTGAACTGTCTTAGTTTATGCCTGGGGCTGGTCTAATCCAGTCTGTGGTAGCTACTTCCCAGCTATTTTGTGTTGGGGACAATCTGGTTCTGGTTCACTCAGGACATTTGATCTAAGCCTTTCACATCCTCTCTACCCTAACACAAGTCTTATAGGCTGCTGTGCTGGCACCTGAACCGTACCCTTTCAGAGGGGATTTGGGGCCACCTGGGGTTAAGAAGGAGGTGGGGCGGAGGAGTGATGCTGCCGCCACACCGGGAACTAGTAGACGAGGGGACTCCCTTTCCTGTAACTTCAGAAAAATAGCTCCAGGTATGGAAATGTCAAGTGGGGCATTGAGAATTCCAGTATTACAACGCTAAAACTGTTACCACTTCTGACTGTGCCCGCTTCCTGATATACATTGTGGGAGGGGGCTGAGAGTTTTAATACAAAGAAAGTTGCTCTTGCCCTAGCCTGTTTTGCTCAGCGGTTAGAGCACCGGTTAGGCCCTCGGACTGAAGGATCTCGGGTTCAGTTCTGGTCGAGGGCACATACCTCCGTTGCAGGATCGATCCCTGGCCCCGGCGTGCGCAGGAGGCAACCAGTCGAGGTGTCTCTCTCACATTGATGTTTCTCTCTTTCTCTCCCTTTCCACGCTCTGAAAAGCAATGGAAAAAATATCCTCTGGTGAGGAAAAAAAAGAGTAAATTGCTCTAGCTCTGAAACAGCAAGGCCTAGGGGAAAACAGAAATGAACCCAGTAAACGAAGGACCCTGCCTGGACATAAGGGGGTGGAGATGAAAGACTGAGTCCTGAAGGGATCAATTCTTGAGGGAAACTCATGAGGCAGACTCTGGGGGAGCTGATGAGCCCTGAGAGAGATGAAAAGAAAGGAGGGAGAAAGAAACAGAGGCTAGGCAGCTGCTGGTCACCTCTTCAGGGGGCCCGGCTAACAACCCTGAGACCTGGGGAGCCAGCTCTGAGTGCTAGGGGCGGCTTTCCCCACTACCCCAGGTCACTTCCCTGGGAAGTCCTGGTCTCCGGAGGACGGAGAGGGTGAGCTTGGGATTTGTGTGGAAAACAGGCATTGAAACTGAGGACTCACTTCGTTACAGGACAGGCAGTGACGACTGACCTCTAGACCTTCTAAGAACCACGAGACCCATTCCCATTCTTAGAAAAGTTATAATTATTATTAAAACCTCAAACAAATGCAGATATATAGGAACACCAGCACTCCCGTGACCGTAGACAGTTGGAGTGCTGGGGAATCTCCCCCATTGGCCAAGATGGCGAAGGGGGTGGTTCTTACACTGAGCATGCCCAAAGCTAGAGAGATGAATGGACAGGGCCTGCGCCCATCAAAAGCTAGAAAGATGAATGGACAAGGCCTGTGCCCATCAAAAGCTAGAAAGATGAATGGACAGGGCCCCCGCGAGCTGAAAGCTAGCAAGATAATTGGATAGGAGGAAAGCCTTTCCCTCCCTCTTCCTTTAAGAGCCACGGGTTTGAGGCGGAAGAAATGGTCTCTGGGACGGAGAGAAATGGGCTTTGAGATGCGAGTCCACCATTCTCCCAGGCTGAGCAGCACCTCAATAAAACCTCTTTCCAGCCAAACCTGTGTTTCAGCGGCACTCCCCTCCTGGATACCAGGGAGCTGTAACCTTGGCAGGCAGGCTACAAGAGAACTCTTGTTGCACATCCTTGTCAGCTCTCAGGGGCATCTTCGGCAGGGGATGGGGGAAGCTCAGTCGGCGGGGTCACAGGGAGATCTCCCCAGGAGCTGACACGGGCCCAGCGATACAAGTCCCTATGAAAAACAGAGGTCAGTGTGGGCTTTGGCTGCCACCTCCCACTAATTTTGGTCACAGCCTCTGTACCTGCCGTGCGGGCGGGCTGTGATCACAGCATGCTGCATATGCCCATCCGGGCAGCACAGGTGACTGCACACGGCGTGGCCGTTTAAGGACAGCTGAGTGATCGGGGCCAGCGATTAGCTTCCTCTGGAGACCCCTGGGGCAAATATTACCATCGAAAAAAGATATGGGAAAAAAATTTTTGACCCCCATTCCTGCAGCCCTTTTCATATTCTATGTCATGCACATCCAGGCTCTACAATCTCCAGGATAATCTTTGCATTTTCCAACTCCTCCCACATGATTCTTTTTCATCCTGCTTTCCCAACCTATTTCCTCCCTGCTGCAATATTCCCAGGGTACATACCCAGCTGAAGCGGATGGGATGGTAAGCCTGGGAAAAGCTACAGGCCAGGGGCTTAGGGGCTGTCAACTGGGGACAAGGAAGTTCATGGGGACACTGTAAACACACATAAAGGACATGAGGTTAGGCAAAAGAACCACAGATCATAAAACTGGGAAATTAAGAGTGATAGAGTCAGGAAGAGCTAGGGATAAGGGAGCACAGGACCAGGGGGTACGGAGAGCAGGGGATCCACTAAGAAGAAATCAGATAGGGACACAAAGCATTGGAGTGTGGCTTAGCTTTGCCCTCCCCCTTGTCCTGGACACAGCTGAGCTCAGATCTTTGCATGCTGGAAAAGGTAGAAGTAATACTCACTGGGGCAAAGACAAAACCAGGTCGAGGGTCGAGGGGTGACTTCTCCTTTCCCTGAAATCAAAGGAAATAAAAAAATGAAGCTGGGCCTGGGGGGTCTATTCTCATAAGTCATTCTCTGTTCTCCATCAATTGAGGACTCCTTTAACATCCAATTCTGGTAATTATTAACTATGTTCTTTGAGTTAAGCTGGCTACTTCTCTAATACTCCCAAACAAAGAACTTTCTCTTTGCAGCAGGAGAAAGGCAGGAACTTGGCACACAGGATGGTACTCTCCTTGTCAGCAACCTCCACTCTCAAAAAAATCTCATTCCAGGACAATTAAATTCATGATTTTACACTGGCTCATACAGTCCTAAAGAGATAAGGTTCTTGGCTCAGCCACGTCCTAGGTCAGGGGACAGCAAACTTTTTTAAAGGCCCAGAGAATAGCCAAAATATGTTTCTCTCTCAACTATTCATCTCTGCCATTTGTAGTGTGAAAGCAGCCACACACAACAGACTCTCAAATAAGTCTGGCTCATACAAGCACAGGTGGCAGGCGGGATTTCCACAGGTCCTACTTTGCCAACCACCACCCTACATCATCACGACTTTATATGCCTACTATCCTGAAAGTCACCCTTACCTTTGTATGACAGTCTTTTCAGTTTTCAAGGAAGTACCAGTAATTGGTGAGAGATAAGTGGGAGGTGGAGGGAGGAAGGAGAAAGAACCTTACCTTAAGGACCAAGTCCCTGGCTTCCATGAGAAGGCAGTGCCCAGCTTTTGTTCCATTCTCCACCAATATCTATTCACAAAGGGGAATGTAAACAGAAGCCCCGAATTATATCAAAACATATGAAGGGAACCAAACTTTTGCCATTTGAAAGCTGCCTTTTTGAAATATTGATTTTAAGCTGTTTTTTAAAAAACAAAAGATTCAGAAAGAACCTTTGACCCTTTCCTTTCCTGCCTAAGAGATTTAGATGGAAAGGGCTACTCCAAGAAAGGAATCTTAGGATGTTGTCTTAGTCTGGTTTAAATTAAGTATGGTGAGTAAAAGGGCTTCAGGCAGGGACCTGTTAGCTAGATACCCCCTGTGTCCCATTGTGTTGCCTAGCAATAATTTGTCTGCAATGTATATTCTGCTCTTCCTCAACTACCTGGAAATTGCCCATTCTCACTTATAAAATCTAAACCCCATCCCCCTCATTTTTCTTTGTCCAGATGTCTTATATACTCAGTGTTGCCTCACTGTCTTTGGGATTTTTATGCATGTGTGAATTCCCCATGCACATGTATTAAAAGTTTGATTTTTTTTCCTGTTTATTCGTGTTAATTTGATCATTAGCTCGGCTAGAAGACCTTAGAAGGTGGGAGCAAAAGTATTATTTGTTTTAGCTCCCACACATGTATGTCAGTAGCTCTGTAAGAGCATTCACAGGTGGAATAGCAGTCCTAAAGGAAACGGCATTATATAGAAGATGCGGATGGAGACCCTAAAAGAGGGACAAAGGAGTCTATGCAGGAGAAAAAATGATCAAGAATGAAGACCAGCCCAGATGGCCTGGCTCAGCGGTTGAGTGTCGATCTAGGATCCAGGAGACTGCGGTTCGATTCCAGGTCAGAGCACATGCCTGGGTTTCGGACTCGATCCCCAGTGGGGGCCGTGCAGGAGGCAGTTGATCAGTGACTCTCTCATCATTGATGTTTCTGTCTCTTTCTCTCCCTCTCCCTTCCTTTCTCTGAAATCAATAAAGATATATTAAAA